AACATTGCTCCTATGTGTATGGAGTTGTTATCTTATCTTATCGTATAAGCGCCCAAAAATCCACCCAAATGCGGCAACTGTCATTACGCAGAGAAACCAAAGCGCAGTAGACCATACGATTACGTAACTGATTGTTATCAAGTCAGCGCTGACTTCGGCAACTCGGCAAACAGACGGATAACATTCGGAACTGATACTATCACATGATGTAAGCGATCCCACACCTACTATGTCACGCTGCTGCGTCCCATCTAAAACTAGCGCTCGTCCGTCCGATTAACGCGGATAATCACGCTTTATCACGCTTTTGTAACGTTTTGGCTGGGGTCACATCCCTGTCACTGTGACGAGGCCCATGCGCAAAAACCAACTCCCTCCTTCGGGGGAGTCGGAACCTATGCAAGGCATACAATTCCCCTACCGCACCCCCACATGAGCGAGTATAGTGGCACGCCGTATTGAGAGCTCGCCGTTGAATAATTCTCGGTATTCAAATTACACATCTCCAGTAACCTTGTGCGCCGAAGTTATGTCAATCGGAGAAAGCTATAGAGATAAAACGAGGGCGTCAGTCGCAAATATTTGCGGAGTTATTGCTCATACGTAACCTTTCCGTCTTCGTCATGTTGAAAGCGGTTCATCTCAACCTGAACGTTGATCCCTCGCGGTCGAGAGTCAGAGGTAGTGATCGTGTTGGATCCCGATGCTTGCAAGCCGGTAGAGATGATCACTCCAGAGGAGTTCCCATTTTTAAGAGACGCGCGACCGTTGAGGCTGTGATATCGAGAAAAATATGTCAGTATGAACATTCATGCGCAGGACACTGACAACTCACAATACAAGCAAACTGTTTGAGTAAAGCTTTGCGTAGAAAAGCAGGATTCCAAGCCAAATCGCATTGTTAGGCATTGATACGGTGCAGGCAAGCATGAGTATTGATGCGACGCTTGTGACCGCTCCAGTCTCGACAGTCCACAGGATTAGCTTGTCAAGGACAAGTCTCGTATTGCGAAACCTGCTGCGTCTCCGGCGCAAGAGTAAGATAAGGGACATCGCGTTGTAGGCGTCGAGCGCCATGGTGTTGGCGATCGCCAAATTCATCAGCCACCTATACTGCTGAACAAATTCCGGGAGAAGTCCGACTCGCATTGAAGTGACTGTGAGAGCGATGGCCAGAGCGAGTCGAAAAACGGAAAGAATCCAGCCAGGAAGGGCGATGACAATCTGCGACGATACAACGCGGATGCGCCATGCAAAGAATGACTGGACGGCGCATCCGACCACACCGGATAGGAAGACGCATGTAGCGAGATCCCATGGGACGAGGAAGAGCTTGAGAACCTGTCCAAACTCCGTGATAGTAGCACCATAGAGGTAAGACCAGCTGAGAGCCGTATGGAGAGTCTCCGTAAGCCTGAAAGACAAATAGAATGTCAGACTCGTATTGATCGTACTTCAATGAAGCGTCCATACCACACAAAACCGACCAATATCTTGATGTACACCTTGTCGCGCTTGAAATGCTCGGAAGCTACGTAAATGTATGTTTGCATGGTCATAACGCCGAACAGCACTGTGGAGATGAGGATTCCGATCTCCAGAGCACCAACGGATGTGTCGAGGAGAGACGGTGCCATGTCTGTGCTATGCTGAGCTTGTTCCGATGACCTCTGGGTGCTTCGAGCTAGTTCGCAATTGTTCCGGTGGTGTGAGGCCGGGCCAATTCTACGTATAGAGGAGATCATCTCCTAAAGTACCAGAAGAACAGTCAATACTGCGCCAGCGTCAAGGGGCTTCCTTTTGATGTCCGTGTTGGTACTTGCTAAAGCAGGGGTATAGAGATTCTACTTAGTGTAAGCTTGATGATCAAGATTTCTCCGTACGCTGTCCATGTGGATGCTATGTACCATGATGAAACGTAGCTTTACACAATGCAGGCGCATGCTGGAAACCATGTACACCGATCATTGCAGAGCGCCCATATTCGCTATCATGGTGGGCGATTGTAGGCCAGATCGTGTGAAGACCATGCTGTCCATAACTCAATGAAGCACGATGTCCGGAGTGTTCTCGGAGTGAAGCGCGTATCAGCATGGGATACTTTTCAGTCTAGTGTTTCCTCAGCGCGCCCAGAGCGCGCCACATGATTTGGAAGTTCGGAGGATCAAGATCCGGCGTCCAGATTGATGTGCAGGGGCGGGACTTGATCTGATCTGACTCTGAGTCCGCTGGCGTTGCTTCAGGCCGTGTGTGCGCTTGTGGGTGACCGAACGGACTGAAACAAGACGCCGATGGTGCCAACGAAGCCTGTGACAGGCAGCGCGGGAAGGTACATAAATTGAACCTACGTCGCACAGCCATCCGCATCGGTCATCCCGGCTTCCCAGCCATTGCTCTGGCCTCAAGTCAAGCCCCACGAAGCGGGCGCGCTCTCTCCTTCGACAACAACCAGATAGACCTTCGTACCTCAGGAGGATGGCCGCAAACCCAACACCACTTGCTCTCTCCACGGGTCTGGTGAGAGCATCTCGTGCAGCGCGTGCAACGCTGAACCTAGCCTGATGTAGTTGACATCGTTCGCATTCCGGCGCTTTGAGCCACGGCGTCCACTGTTCATTTTTTCGCTGCTGTTCATCCCGCCGCTTTTCCTCGCTGCCATTGCTTCATCCGGTTTGGGACCCCTTCAACGCGTGCAAACAGTAGCCAAACATGTCGTGCTACATCTTGCATCTCTCGTCATCTCCACCGTCGCGTATCGCGTTTCACCTTTCCATCCCCTCGCAAAATACCCAGGTCCTTGGAGATGCAAAGTTACGCGTCTATGGGCGCTGAAAATCGCCAATGGGGGTAATCAGCACCGTTACTACCACGCCCTCCATGAAAAATTTGGGCCGGTAGTGAGGTCGGGTCCGAACCATCTGCACGTACGCGATCGAAGCGCCATACCTATAGTTATGGGAAGAGAATTTCGCAAGGGAGGACGTACGCACAGTTTATCTCTGTACAATTACCCCCGCCTGACTGCGCTACAGGTTACGAGTCTAATCGCCTTCCCGGCTCGCAAGGCGCGCTGCTCACCATCTCCGATCCACATCTCCATTCGCAGAGAAGGAGAATATGGGAGCGAGCGTTCACACCCACCAATATCAAGGAATATGAAGAGGTGGTCCGACGGCGAGCAAATGAGCTTGTGAAACAGCTTCGGAGTAAGAAGGGTTCCGCGTTGGACCTTAGCTCGTGGATAACCTACCTTTCGTGAGCTGTCTCTCCATAGCGCCTTTGAAATCTCGCTGAATTGATCTCACAGGTTTGATGTGATGGGCGACGTAGCGTACGGCGGCCTATTCAATCTTGTATCTGATGGAGGGGACAAGTTAGGCTTCATTGCGCGCATGAACCACGGTGTCAAGCAGCAAGAAGTCGCCGGAACCATCGAATGGCTGGCGCCGTTTGTGCTCTGGCTTCCGCAAATCAAGGCCGCCAGCGCTCGCATGTATGCAATGGGCCGCCGGGCACTGGATGCACGCATGAAACAGGGCACAACTCGGAGGGATCTATTCTATTATCTTGTGCGTTCTAACTTCTGTTATTTCTTGAGACTTGGTTCCGACGCATATCGTCAGCTGGACGAGGACAAAACTGGAAACGGAGGCGCAGAGCCTCTGAACGATGTGACGCTGATGGTAGAGGCCAGCTTTGCTATCGTCGCAGGTTCTTTACAATCGTCTGGTTCTTCACATCGCTCCTAATACGAGTGAACGCTCCCAGGCTCTGACACAACTGGGACGGCGCTCTCCAATGCCTTCTACTATCTACTCACTCATCCACCCGTGTATCGTCGCCTGCAAGGAGAGGTCGACGCGGCCTACGCAAACTCTGGAGACGGCGAAAACGTGGATCCTGCCGTCCTTTCCGAAATGCCATACCTGAACGCGGTGATGTACTACATCCTCGCTCGTTCTCAGGGACCTCATCGAGCTCTGACTCCGCACAGTAACGAGACGCTCAGGATGCAGCCTGCACTGCCTAACGGTGTTCAGCGGCGCAAGCCCTTCGGCAGCGGAGATATCACGGTTGGGGCTTATCGCATTCCTGCTGGAACTACGGTGCAGATTCCTAGCTACTCCAGTAAGTCGTCCTTGGAGCTAGCATGCACCGTACCCCCTGACGTCAAATCAGTTCATCGTGACCCGAGATACTTCTATCCAGAACCAAATACTTTCATTCCGGAACGATGGATCACTGGTGCCGATATCACAAAGGCGCATGGTTTCGCACTGGATAAGGACGCTTACATCCCGTTCAGCTACGGTAGGCGCCTATTCGCTTGCTCAAATACTTGAATAATGCGGACGGTAACTTGTGTTGTAGGTGCGACCAATTGCGTTGGTCGTCCTCTCGCCCTCCTCGAGCTTCGTGCCATCATTGCGACATTGGTACATCTGTTCGATTTTACTCTAGCCGAGAACGAGGGATGGTCGAAGGATAACTGGGAGAAAGATCTCAGGGATGCGTTCGTGCTACTGAAAGGCCCGTTGATGGTCACTGTTCGGGAGAGGCTCTGAATTCATTTGTGTACTATGTGCCGGCGTCCCTGCGAACATCTGTGACAGTGGTCTGGTAAACTGTATAGTTATGTACTCCACGACTCGTTTCTTCTTGTTGCTGCTCGTGACCTTACAACCAGACTCCATACCTGGTGCGGAAATCCAATGGAAACCGGGCGCGCCATCACAATGCTATACGAGTGCCTCGTTGACATGATACGTAACCTGATATTACGGCTATTACGGCACTGCACCGTAATGTACATGGCAATAAAGACGGCTCGATGGCCCCAAATACGAACCTGCCCAGACCAGACCCGCCAATATTAATATGTTCGCATTGCGATTCCAACTTGCAAAGGCTCAGCATCATGATCATGATTACATGCAATCGACCGTTGGAGCAATGATCTCGCCTGCTCAATCGGTATCTCTCCGTTTCGCACAGGCCATTAAGGGTACGCCCAGCCCTGTCGTCCTGCGATTGTAGATCCGCTCGCGAAACTCCCTCGCGTCGAAATCAGCCGGTAGGCTCATGTCGTACGCGAGCAGCAGACGCGCGAGGACGTAGCGCATCTCGTAGTATGCAAACGTCTTTGCGGGGCACACATAAGTTCCTGAGAATGACACGCGAACACCGTTAGTATGACCCAAACAGTTGCGACGAGCGTTTGGACGCGCACCGGCTGTAAAGGTAATCAAAGCCTTCCGATCTGTTTCAAATCCTGCCGCAAGCGCGTCTTCTGCCCACCTCTCGGGTACGAACTGGTCCGGCATCGGAGAAAAGCTCTCCGCTGAAGTTTGTACGGAGTGAGCTGCGATCGCGACGACAGTCCCTCCAGGAATAAATACCGATCCAGACGGCATATGTGCGTCCTCCAAGATGGCACCGTGCGGAGGCGTGATGCGCGGGTTGAAGAAGGGCGTTCCCAGTCGGAGAGACTCGTTCACAGCACCATTTAGCAGCGGCAGGGACGCAAGAAATGAAGGGTTCAGGTGATCGTGTAAGGAAGTGTCGCTCCCAGGCACCAACCCACGAGCCGTGTTTGAAGATTCGTCAAGATGAATCGCATGCTTCAGCGAGTGGAATAGCTCGGATTGCAACTTGTTCCAGTACCCCGGGGAGGAGAGGACGAAATATAGAGCGAGCGAGATGGAGAGCGACGTATTGTCAGAGCCTGATTCATCGATGCATGAGCACTCAGCACGCCAGCCGCAACGGTGTACGCACCTGCCTCGATTGCCACCAGGGCGTTCACTTCCAAGTCCGTCTTCGTCATCTGCCTACGGCTTTGCGGGTGTCCTTCGAGCTATTCAAGGGCATGATAATGTTAGCTCGTGTCTTGTGGTGCCACAACGCAGGAGACTGCACATTGATGTCATGATGCACATCCTCACCCAGTATCCGCTGATGTCTCGGATCGAGATCTCATGCTTCCTCCCTGCGTTGATCCGAGCCTGCATCATATTGCCAGCTTTCTGGCGCAGTTGGTGAAGATGAGAAGAGAAAGGTAGATGCCATAGTATGTCGAGTAGCCACGGCATTTGCCCGAATGAGTCGACGATGGCCATGGCCTCCTTTCCGTTGTCAACGAGAGATTCAAGGTCGCCGTCGCGCATTAACTCCTAGGAGAGCCGGTGATATGCAATACTGGAGCCAACATAGTATAAGCACGCACGAGTTGACTTGAACCGCCAAACACAATCTCCCCCTGTAAATAGACGTTTTATTCAGTCGCAGATCACTCAGCGGTTTTCTAATCACCATGAAGTCATACGACCAGTGCGATACGCATTCACTCAAGTTGACTCGCCCCGTCAGGGGTTGTAGACGACGAGATATACATGCAATAAGCTCGTTTGTACGGCGTTCGAGGGGTAAATAGAAGTCCTGCACCCTACATGGCGACCTTTGCGTAAGCGATTCTCTCAGAGATAGAGCGATATAACATACCCTTTAGTGAGAGCTTGGCCCCACACGTAGCGCAGCTCACTGTGTATTTTCTTATCGCGCGGCTTGAAGAAAAGCGACTGGGCATCGACGTGACCCGGAATATCGTACGCGTACGACTTTTCCCATCCGCCGGCGTAAACTAACGATTGTGCGGCAGGAGAGCAGATCGATAAGAAGTTGGGACCTAAGCGCAAACGGTTCAGCTAGTACTATGCAGAGGTCATGGGTGGGAGTACTTACCTATCCGTACAACTCGTCCGTATCTTGCGTGCAGTCTCCCGATGACGATATGACGTCTCCCACTCAGGCTTGCCAGCACAAGCGCCAAGTCGGACATTTGCCATAGTAACGGGCCTCGGAACCGGTGGAGGGAATGAAACGGACTGACTCTCCAGGAAACCGTGAACAAAATCGCTCCGAGGATGTGAAGGAAGAACAGGCGCAAGAAGCAGAATGATGATACGTTTCCAGGACGGTCGCGATTCTCCACCAGCGCGAGGGCGAGAGACAGAGTTATTATTGCGAGGAGGGCGTGATCGCCTCTCAGCCGGGTGCGCTTCAGGTGCAGAATTGCGCAAGTGAGCTGAGTCGCATCGTTAGCTATGGGTGAAGCACGTAGTGGGTCGGCTATAGGACTGACAACTCCAGATGACAGCGCCAGCGCCATCACGATGTTGTCCATCCGATCGATGGATACTGGCATTGCGGATGTTCAGGGGGGGAGGAGGGTTGGAGGTTTGCCTTCCCTGCGTCTGTCTACCCCGAAACGAGATCATCGCATGCGAGGGCGTGGTAACCGGTCAGACCCACATTGTGACAGACTGTAATATGAAACGGGCAATGGTGAAGCCCGTCGAAGTTGAAAAAAGCATCATTTGTTTGCAGGGTGTTTCTTGCGTCGTCTTTGGATTATTGGCCGGTAACATGCAAGCTCCAAGTTTCAACGTGTCCGAAGCACCGGAGATTCAGACTGCTTCCGCGCGTGTGAAGGCCTGGGCGTTGTAAGAACGTCCGGCATGACCAAAGGGAGTGAGTGCGGCTGCAGCCAAATTTGTCGGACTGGTGAGATCCTGTGTCACGCCTTCGCTCAGACGAGGAAAGGCCCTACCTGCTTTTCTGGCACTGATGAGGAAACCTGGGCGCTCTGTGCCACACATACACGCTGCGCCCCACGCCGCGATGGTGTTGTCCGCCGAGATAGAGGAAAATACAAGATATCGGTGGCCCTAACTTCTGTAATGCAGTCACAATGACGGGCAAGCAGTGGGCACCGAGTTGCAGGTGAAACCTATCCGATCTACGCCCATTTCCATTGGCATTCCTAGAGACTCCCGTCATTGCTGTCCATCCCCCGGAAGATCGAAGCTATCACGCGCTCAAGGCAATACCATTTCGGTCCGGCGTTCCCATTAGCGAGGATCGCGCCCCGTATGCGCGCCGTACCCCATCATCGATTCTCTAGGGTGTTGTGGAGGTGGGCCATCGGTAGTCTAAATTCTTCGGTAATTCCAGCCGTGTACGTGAATCAGAAGGATGGGTCGGTGGCGACCTTTCTTTGCGGCTTGTGCTTTCGAGAGATATTCTCAGTCCTCACTTCAACGACGCACATTCTCACCGGGTTCATTTCTGGACAATTTTCGTCGAGAACATCCCACCCACGGCGATCAAAAGTCAGCGGTGGGCCGGACCCAAACGGAGTGGATTGCTGCTCGCTCCCTCGATGAACCCCAAGCCACCGAAGCTTTCGCGCCCAAGTGAACAACTGTCAGCGCGAGTGAGTCGTCGCAGCCACTGTTCAAGCTGCGACGCCTCCGCTCTTGTCGAACAAGCTCAGATCGATCTCTAATATTGTGCGCAAGATAGTAGCCTCCGTCGCGAGACGCACAAGTACACCGATCATCAGGTCTCGCTGGTCTCGCGTAATGTGAAGGATCTCTCGGGGGCTTGGGCTTGAATGCTCGAACGCAGCTGGCAACTGCGACGATCAGAACCTGTGGTAACAGAGGCTCCGATTACGCTGTGCACCCCTCTAAAGGAAGACTCAATAAAGCATCCAGCAAGGTCAAACTGGTCCCATGCCCTGATTACGGCTTTCATCTCAATGCGCGGGCCGCCAACGCGCACACTAGCGCCCCATCGGGGAACCTTACGGATCACACACTCACACTCACTCTGACCGCCTTGCTAAGTCTGGCTGACGCGGTGAGGGTAACGCTGATTGACAGCGAACGGTCGGAACGGAGCGCACTCCGTCGGGTCCGCTGGCATGCGTTCACGGGTGGGCCGCGACACAGACCAAAGCAATGCACTCGCCTGCCATGCGTCGATCGTCTGTTCTGTGAGGGCATAGTCTGTTCTGTGAGGGCATGATAAGTCTCATGGCTGGAATGGATCATGGACTGGCTTACAGCACCGCAGTTCGACCGTGGAGGCGAAGTTAGACTCGTCACCGGACGTTACATAGACGACGATGGCTCCAAGCGCCGGATTGGCAGAACCAAGAGGTTTGACCAAAGTCCAAGCGATCGAACTTCGACTTGGTTACGACGCCCGCGGGGGCAGGGTTCCTTGGAGGTGGTGTTTGGTGGGACTAGCTGGTGCAGATGTAGAGGAGAGGCGTGTCTCGATAGTGCCGACGGCAGCATCTTTGGCTGGCTGGTCGACGTGTGGTGCGTTGGCCGATGGGGCGATAGGTACATACGCCATAGAGGCGAGTCCTGATCGTCACATCGCACGTTCGGAACCCCTCGCCGTCGGACAAAAGAAGTCGATGGCAGGAGTGGCGTTGTGGTGACAGAAGCTACAAGAAGGAAAAGGAGTAAAGTTAATGACCACGGCATATGACGAGGAGTAGATGAAAACGTACCTGAATAGAGTACCCCGCCGTCGTGGGCTAACAAAGGTTGAGATGAAGTAAGAAGACTGGAACGCTGTCGCTATAACCAGTCGGTCGAAAGGTTTTCCATCGTTCATGGTTTCCAGGACATGGAGATTGCGGGAGACGTTCCGGAGATAACGCAAAATCGAGGATGATAGAGGAATCTCGGGAACGGCATCGTGGGTATGCCCGGTCTGCGCTCCGGCGGCCTCTTTGTTCCAATACGACAGCCGATGTCGACCTTCGAACACCTAATCGTGCGCTGGTCGTTGAGTGTGACGGGGCCAGGGAGAATGCGAGCAAGTCATTGAAGTGGTACTTGTCCTGGTGAACCGATAGTTGGGCGAGGTAAACCATTTTCGAAGTTAATTCAAGTGCAGTAGGTGGCGAGGAACGTCGAATAAGGGAGAGAGAACCGCGCTCTTCCTCGTGAGGATGGATACTGGCTTGATGGTAATGACCGCCGAACCCGTGATGTCTGTACATGGCGTTACGAGGGCCAGCGTGTAAAGTACGAAGCTATGAGTACGTTCAGCGAGGGAACATGTGCGAGCAAATTGCACGCACTCAAAACCGTTCAACGGTGACTTCTCCACAAGCTGCAGTAGAAGAGCTTCATAGAATAGTGGTTCAGAGCGAACCCGGATGTGGTTCGCCTGCGTAGAGACGGTCTTGCGTCTGAACACGTCCCGTTATTTGGAAGACGGTAGTTTCAAGATGTTGAGAGACGTCGTATCATTGCATAACGTGAGCGTGGTCGCGTACTGAGCACAAACAATAGTTAGCCTAAGTTGCGATAGCAACGGATCCGTTGCAATACATACGAAAGGTTAAGACGGCAAGGACAATGGCGCGCAAGAAGGCAGTCGCGCGAGCTCGCTAGTCTTATCCTGTACGAATGATGCATCTCGACAGAAGAGCAGCGATTTACCTGATAAAAAAAACACGAGTCAGCACTATGCGATACAATGACGATGGATTGGCTCACTATAGCGCGTTGAGCGTTCATTTTATTGTTGCGAGTTTTGAAGACGGATGATTTGGCGGTGTGTAGAGAATGTCACGGGTACAAGATGGACGTTGTTGGCACACGAGAACGTCCAGGAGTTCATCTTGCAGCGGGTGTGGGCACAGCCGCTATAGACGCACATCCCTTCTTCCGTCCTATCCTGCATGGGCAAGCCCAGGCAGGTGTGTGACTCTACCAGGGCCCGTGCCCCTGATCCTGGCGAGAGTAGCATCCATCCTGTTCGCGCGAGTAGAGCCGAATTGTCATAGTTTGGTGAAGCTGGGCGTTGTTGACATGGCGGTCGGTCAAAAAAGGCGGCTTGAATATTGGACACGTGATTTTGGATTACGCAATCGACGCGTCTCTTGAGTCTCAGCCAGTCGAGGGCGCCTCATCGCAGCGTTCATAATGCGCATTCATCACCGCCGATCTAAGTAATGAGATATAACGCTTGCTTCATTCAAGGCTATTCAGAGTAACGTAATCTTGAATCAATAGTAGGAAACGAAAATGCGTTCCAAACCAAAAGGTTCGGGCGACTCGCAGCCCAAGAATTGACGCGCTTGCGATGGCGGACTCCACCAGCCATACGCTAAGCGTGTCCCTGACGACCGGAGCACTGAATCCGAGCGACCTCCTGGCGATCCCGAGAACGTCCCTATGGGCGGGACATGTGTCGTGTTTCATCGTCACACACGCCCATCGCTTCGGTGCGAGTTGCTTGTGCGTCGCTCGCTTTCTTACTCGCTGACTTTCTCACTCGCTCGCTTTCTCACTGGTGGGTGTCACGCGTCCTATTCTGCTAGTATACAGTCTCCCAGCTGGATAATGGCACGATGTCAATGTTCACAACGGAATACTTGCGTTTGGTCGGCTAGAGAGGAATCGTGTTGCAAATCGCCTTAGCAGCATCGAGCGAGCATCAAGATTTGCAAGTAAGTATTCCAAGGATCGCCGAAGTCTTGCATGGATGTAGGTGAGGTCTTTTACTAGAACTACAGGACCAGAAAACAGCGAGTGATGACCACCATAACTGACATGCGTACCAGATTCCAGAACGAATGTCGCGGTCGACTTCCACATAGGCGCTTCAAGACGAAAGGAGCTCGTCTCCTGATTACGTGTCCTGTGCACATTCGCCTTGTGCCTCACTGACAGCAGAGGTATCCCGGTGTCCCTACATTCGCATCACAAGTGTCTGACTGCATCGTCATCCACAGTTCCGGTGGTGATATGTCGTCTAAGGATATATTCCGCGTATCGCAGGCTAGCGCACAAACTTCATCACTCGAGACTCTTTTGTGGGCAAGACAGTTCGAATGCCCCGGTCGTACGCTCTCTTCTCTACACGGAACGTTTGAGCTGATCTCGAAGCGTGCTGCAGGGGCAGCATCATGTTCGTCGGGTCGGTTAAATCCGTCCTCATTGCTTTGACATGGGCTGGACAAAAGTTCCTGTGGGCCTCGTTTCATGGTTCTCGATATGTTTGCCGATCAGATGGGCACTTTCCTGTAAGCTCTACATCTTCTCATTCCGGCCCGCACTGACTCGACGACAGAGCACGGACGATAGCCAGGAAAGTCTAGATTGAATTCGCTATTCCTCCTCACACACGGCCCGAGGTGCAGCCTGAGTGCGGGCCCTTGGAGGCGCTCTTTTGTATCGGTCTGCCATCGTCGGAATGCACGAGTCCTGAATTTACCCCTTGTCCATTGGACTTTACGCCTCTCACTCCCCTCGAAACTCGTTTGCCGACGAGATAGTGCGATTGGACTGGATGAACCTCTTCGTCGTCACACCAAACGTTGAGAAGACGTTCTGTAAAATCTATATGACGTTCGTTGAGCGTTCAACATTGGCGCTCCGAACTTGGGCTTAGGCCAGACCGAGATTCCTTAGGACCTCTCTTCAAGTTCCCATACACCCTGTGGTGAACTTGCGATGTATTCAGTTCCACCAAAATTGCAGGATGACTGCTTCTTTACGACCATCGTAACTATTTCACAGACGCTCCAATATTCCAATCCAACCCCAGAATATGTCTTTAACCTCCCAGAATCCCGTTCCGTCTTTCACTGGCTCTCTTTCGATGCTCTCTTCCAGAATGTTCGATCCTGCTCAGCCATACAGCTCAGTCAAACAACGTGTGTTTCATTCTCTCGCAGAGTCGACTCGTAACTGAAGCCAGACTGTCAGCGCTAAGCCGGACGTATTTTCATGGCTTGAAGCTGGTACATGCCGGTCAGCTAATCCTCTGGAGCCAATTGTCGCGCCGCTTCTCCCCGCGAGTTCTTGTAGAACACAACATTCCCCTCGTCCTCTACGAAATAGCATTGCGTGAATGATCGATAAAGCACGCGGAAGCAATTCTACGGTGTATTAATCGATTGTGGATCACGTCAATGTTTCGGGCATGCGCACCGTTGAATCGTAGTTGTATTCATCCTTGAGTACTTCCTTCAATTTTTTGGTTACTTGGGGCTGATTATCTGCGCGAGATTGAGACATGCCATTTGAATGTGCACGCCCGAGACTGACAGAAAGGGATGTGCGAGAATAGATGATGTGCGGTATGATTGTGCGAGGCCTGCGGCGTTGATAAGCACTCGTCCCACAGAAACAATCGCCGCGAGTACGTACATTATGAAAGAAGAACCTGTCTATCCAACCCAGTGTCAGTCGATCAACGGTCGCCAGTGCCCCTCGCATGAAAGACCATTTTCCTCCACGATAGTAAGGGATTGTGGGATCGGAATGTTGCAAAAACGTAAGCATGACAATCCAATGGTTACTGAGCTATTACTTGATAGTCGATGTTGCGAGCAGCATTGGGGTGACATTAGAATGCTCACCAGGTACGGTACGACATAATCGACTAGAAATGCGGACCAGCCACAGCATTTCGCATACGTCAGTAGTACAACGCACATGGTCGCGATTCCGACATCGGAGATAATGATCAGCCTTCTCTCTGAAGGTTTGAACAGCGGGGAAGACGGGAGGTAATGCTGCACCCAGTTTAGTCAGCGATATCATATACGATGAGATGAATGAGACGCGGTACTGACGTTGGTTCCTCGTGGATATCTGAGAGACCCTCCGGCATTGATGGACATGTACAGCTGCAATCCAAGGAGCTGTGTCACGAGCAGGTTGATCAAAACGTAGATAGGTGTTTCCTCGAGTATCTCCTTGTAATCCGCTGCCGTTATTTCCGACCACGGAGGAAGGCCTAGCTCTGCTCGTGTTCGAGGAACAAAGTTCTCGTCTTTTTTTATCGACCCAGTGGCTTTCTGTTTCGACATGCGTAAGTTCGTTTCAAAAATAGTCATGTGCACCTACGTGATGTGCTTGGTGTGTTGAGCGCCACGAGTAGTACGGGAGTAGTAGACACTAAGCAAGGCATCGAAAAAATGGCCGCGCTTACGAGGAAATGAATGACAAACAGTGTGCAAGAAGTATCCCACCATGTGATTAATCCTTGAGTGGGACGAGATGTTACCATGCCCGGCCTCATGTCCTGCATACGGAAGGAAAAAATGAGAACGGTTTCAGTCGGTCCTCATCTTTTCTACGTCACCTAAGCAGAAGACACCAGTCAAGGCGATTCCTTGCCACCACCAGTAGACCAATAAAGATACGAAATGTATGATCGATGGTATGAGATGATTAGGTTGCTGGCTCGTGTAAGATAGCGGCCAATCATTCACGTAACGGAAAGAAATGTAGAATAAAACTGGGAACGCGATGGTTTGGGCAGTGTAATACAGTCCTTTTGCAGTGGACACTTGATGAAGCTCCTTAGGCATGACAGAGCGGACCTGCTGGATCGTTACCTGTGGAGCTTCAACAACGTTTCGCCCCTCAGCAAATGATGAACTGTAACTACCTACATTTGATGGCTTGAAGTCGCTCTTTGTACGCTTTTGATATTCAGGGGAGTCCTGAAACATAGCTGCGTAGCGTATGGGCGATGAGATAAGACGTGCTCATTCGATGATACCATCTATCTTATGGTAACTTATACTGGTACTGACGGTGTTCGAGGGCCTCGCGGCCGAGCTCCGGTTGCTAGTCACTATCGGAGTCCCGAGATTAGGCATTCGTTTATGAAGCTCAAATGGGTGCGTTACCACGAGCCCGAACAGGATATGGTCAATGGGTCCATGAATAGAGGCCCGCATTCACCTCGTTTCGGACACAGTTTGTACGGGTACCTGTACCGAGTCAAGAAGCTCATGCTACGATCAGAAATCCTCACGAAGATCCCGGAAGACCGAAGACCGATGATAGCACCGTGGCGCATGGCGTGAGACTAAGAATACGAGGGGTTACCCGGGCAGGCTTCCTTTCCGTATCAGCCACCCAGTAGCTATTCTCCATTGCGTCCTCCGCGTACGAAGATGATGTGATGATTATCATCGTCAGGGCGCCCGCCCGCACGATGAGCCACATCGGTCCGAGGCGCACATGGCTCAAAACTGTGCTTCCGTTCTAGCCTACGCTAAATACTGCTCGTGCCCCTCTCTGTATCAGTTGAACGTGTGCTTACTGCTGCCTCGCCACCATCCTTCCGTATCATGAGCTCTACGTCTTGCGTCGCTGTTCGTCATGACTTTGTTCCCTTGCCATGGCACGTGCCGCATATTTTTGATAGTCGTTTCTCACGTTTTTGAAGGACATTGAAGGAAATACGTGAAAGTATTCCGAATGCGTTGTTTAGAAAGAGCACCGGGAGGGCTATCCTATACCTTGTCAGAGATGTAGCTTTCGCCGCTTTATTTGCGACATCAGTGTATCACTTGGATGCCGCTGCATGCCGGGTCGGAGCTGTGAGCATCATAGCCACAATCTCAAGATGGTGCATTTGGGCCCTATAGTATGAGCATCCTGTTCTCGTCCTTTAATATAGTCCCACGTCTAACCTTCTTGTCTTAGTTGGTGGTTCCAAGGTCTCGTCTTCACCCGAATATGGGTCATAGGTCATGAGGTAAATATTTCCCAACATAAATTCTCCATTATCTTCCTAACCTGTACAAAGTGTGGACATTCCGCATTTTCTGACTCCCATACTATGAATAACGTCGTCGGTTTTGTGAGCATACGCCCATAATTGCGCCCCATTGTTTATGACTGCCCTTCCCATAGATAACCCACACCGCATTATGGACACCTTACTTCAGCTGGAAGATATCTCACCACAGGCACCACAGCTATCACGGGTCTATGGAAAAGGATGAGGTGTCCGTGTCAAAATACTCGGATTTCACTTTCCTCTGCCTAACCTCGTCATAGATATGTCCCTAAAACTCGCGCGGATATCGGATTGCCGCCAGCACATCACAGCGCAGATGAAATCGAAGCTCACTTTAGTGATACCCCCATCTATACCATGTACATGCTCATCCGGCAGCAGCTTCTCGGATTTACAACATATCTGATGTTCAATGTCTCGGGGCAGAAGCGATATCCAAGATTTACTAATCATTTCAATCGTAAGATTTTTTGTTCCAGCGGTGATTCAAAATATGATCAATTTTGTTTAGCCGAGTCCGTTCTCTTTACGAAGGAGCAACGCAACGCTGTTATGGTATCCAACCTGGGACTTGCTATCCAAGGTGCATTGTGCTACAATGCCATACAAATCTGGGGAACCGCGGCTTTTATCAGATATTACGGCCTTCCATGGCTGGCAGTAAATCACTGGTGAGGAGATGCACCACCGTCTCGCACTTTTTACGGATATACATGGGTCACAGGTTCATGATGATTACTTACCTCCCCCACACAAACTCAGAAATTCCTCATTACCGAGGAAAGGTGTGGAACTTTCAACGAGGGGCGGCTGCGACAGTGGATCGTAATTTTCTCGGTTTGCAGGGTCGTTTATTTCTGCATGACGTGAGAAATGAAGTCAATTTTCGGAGGCGGAACGATAACAATTGCACAATAGGTTGCTCACTTTCACGTCATTCATCACTTCTTCCCGGCACTCCCTTGGTACAATGGCGAAGAAGCTACTAAATACCTCAAGGACTTTATCGGCAAGCATTACGTCCGACCAGAAGACTCTGTTTTCCGTGTATTATGGAAAACATACAATGACTGTCAGTTCGTGGATGATGAAGGTCGGAGTGAATCTCATTCCGTTCATTTTTGCGGAACACTGAATACAAGCAAAGGCGATATTGTTTTTTACAGAAATCGGCGCGGCGAAGTCATGCGTGGCGTCGCTTTCTCGAAATGAGGCGCATTATCAGTTTGGATGTGCGCATGATCAAGATGAATAGGTCAAGTTTCTAGCTGTGTAACTACGACGATTATGCACTGTACTGTAATTTTACGACCTTAGGTTCGTCCCCTGTCCCCTGGCAACCTGAACTGAACCTAATTTCCCGTGTTGTCCCCTGTCCCGCCACCAATATCCAGGCCTTGAACTGACCGTGGGAACTGTATTTCCTACTGTGAGAATATTGCACACTGACTACAGTCAGTTTGCGAACTTCCCACGGGCCCGAACTTGCAGCTGTCCCCTGTCCCCCCGGGGGCGGACCGAACCTAAGGTCGTAAAATTACAGTATTGAGAAAGGTGGACACGATTATCTGAGAGCTACTACACAATTTTGATGTAGCATCAGCTCTTCGTAACAGTGTCCCCGTACTCGAATAGAGGGAAATTCACTTTGTCAACGATTCAATTCAGACGTGAAGCTTGGCCCTTATGATGGGCTGTGGCGACGACTCAAAGGATACCTAGAGCCGCGCTGTTCCCGGTGATCGGAGCACCAAGCGACCAATCTGAGCTTTCAGAAGACAATACTCCCTTATACAAACATTGAATACGATAGCCGCACATGTAACGAAATGCCGCGATGAATCCGATAATAGATGCTGTCACACCTCTCAATTGACGGAAGTCGACAAACATCACTGTTACCCTACGCTGGATCCGGTAAGTGCCGTCACCTTCAGGAAATGGTGATGCCTGCATCTCTTTGGGGCACTGGCCGGTATCTTGCAGGCTCCAACCCGCCCGAAGCCTCGGAGATTCGGACTGCTTCCGCGCGTGTGAAGACCTGGGCGTCGTAAGTCCAAGGGGAGTGAATGCGGCTGCAGCCAAACTTGTCGGGCTGGTCAAGTAGTTGCCGGAGTCCCATTGTGGTGGTGGCGTGAGATCCTGTGTCACGCCTTCGCTCAGACGAGGAAAGGCCCTACCTGCTTTTCTGTCACTGATGAGGAAACCTGGGCGCTCAGTGCCACACACACACACACTGCGCCCCACGCCGCAATGGTGTTGTCCGCCGAGATAGAAGAAAATACAAGGTATCGGTGGCCCTAACTTCTGTAATGCAATCACCATGACGGGCAAGCGGCGGGCACCGAGTTGCAGGTGAGACCTATCCGATCTACGCCCATTTCCATTGCCATCCATAGAGACTCCCGTCATTGCTGTCCATCCCCCGGCAGATCGAACCTATCACGAGCTCAAGGCAATACCAGTTCGGTCCGGCGTTCCAACATTAGCGAGGATCGCGCCTCGTATGCGCGCCGGACCCCATCATCGATTCTCCAGGGTGTCGTGGAAGTATGCCATCTCCAAGTCCGTCAGCTGTCCAGGTCCCTTAATCGTTTCAACCATCGTGTCCTGCGCACATACGCACCGGCCCTCACACGACGCCTCCATCATGGACGAAGCGCAGGGATCCGTGGCAATGCTCAAACAACAAAGGTATCCCAACCTTCCTAGATTTGAAGTGCAAGTGGCTCACTGCATCGTCTTCCACAGTCCTGGTGGTGACATGTCGTCTAAAGATCTACTACCCGTATCGGAGGCGGAGGTACCTGGCGCACCGACCAGTAGATCTCGTGGTGCCGCATTTTGGATGTCCTTCGTCGCCACGCTCCTCGTCGACATCCTCTTCGCATTGGACCTCGTACATGTCGATCATTCGCAGCCCATCGCGTGCTCATAATGATTTTTCAGACCGCCGTTGGAACCGTTCTCCCTACCATCATCGAGCATCTCAAAGGAAGCGACTTCATATGGGCAGGGAGCGCCTACACCGTATCTTCAACCGCAATCTTACCCGTTGTCGGAGGGCTCGCGTCGATCTTTGGCAGGAAACCCACCATGTTGTCCTTCCTTGTCTTCTTCTTTCTCGGTTCCGGTATTTGTGCTGGGTCGCGCAATCTCAACATGTTCATCGCAGGACGAGGTTAGTACCAATGCACTCCGGTATCTGCACATGAACGTGCTGAACGCGGACCAGTGATTCAGGGACTCGGTGGTGGAGGTGCTTTGGCCACAACGGTCATCATTTATGCCGATCTTATCCCCCTAGCGGAAAGAGGCACGTTTCTTGGCTACCAGGCTGTGTGAGTTCTGCGGCCTCTCCTTTTGGTGCAAGCTGACTCGGAGATAGAGCATGGGCAACGGCGTGGTGAACTTGAACCAAGGCTGCGTACATTTACAATGCTCACATCATTATTAGCTGCATTGGCCCGATCGTAGGTGGAGCCCTGGCGAGCGCAGGCGCCTGGAGGTACCTGTTTTGGATCAATTTGCCATTATCAGGGATTGCCGGGGGCATAATCGCCCTGTATCTTCGCGTCCACACCCCGCGAGACTCTTTTACCAGCAAGATAGTTCGAATGGACTGGCCGTACGTCTTGTCCATTTCAGGAAACGTCTGAATGATCTTGACACGTATTGCAGAGGTAACATCATGTTCGTCGGGTCGACGACATCCGTCCTCCTTGCGTTGACATGGGCCGGACAGCAATTCCGGTGGGCCTCATTCCATGTTCTCGTTCCGCTGTGCATCGGGTTTGCGGGAATATTCGCTTTCTTCGCACTTGAAAGATGGGTCGTTCGGGAACCGACTGTGAGGACGAATTACTCTACATCACTGCAGCAACCTAATGCATCTGGTCAGGTCCCTTGGTACGCACTTTCGAATCGAACGTCGCTCAGTGGGTAGGTTACACGTTCTGCTTCGACTTTTTGCCATGCTCAATGCCTTGCGATCAGTTATATGGGCACATTCTTCCATGGGATGACATCCATGGCCGTCATATGTGAGCCTTCCATGCACGCGCGAATCGTAAAACGAGACCCATCCCGAGTCGTATAGTCTATCTGCCTGCCTATCTCCAGGCTTGCAAGGGGGACTCGGCCATACGTTCGGGTGTTAACATCATGGCCCTCGCAGTCGCGATTCCGTTCACCGCCATCATCATGGGAGTCTCAGTGCGCGTGTTCAAGCGATACCGCCCCCAGAACGTCTTCGGATGGGTGTTCTCCATAGCAGGCTTCGGCGCGCTCTCGACCCTGACCGAGAACAGCGCGAAGTCCCACTACATCGGATTTCAGATCATCATTGGGATCGGGACCGGATGTATCTGGATCGCCACGCAATTCCCCATCCTGGCACCGTTGCCCCAGTCTAACAACGCGCATGCCCTCGCGTTCTTCACATGGACGCGCTTTTTTGCTCAGGTACGAGGTTGCCCTCACGCCCGACGTGCCATGATTTCTCAAGTTACTTGCAGAGTTGGGCCATCGTGATTGGCGGGAGCATACTCCAGAATCGCATTCATTCGCAATTGCCTCATGAGGTCCTCGCTCAGCTGCCACTGTCGTCGACCTCGATCTATGCTCTAATACCTCTTATCCACACGTTCGACGTGACTACTCAAGCGGTCATCAGACACGCGTTTGCTCGCAGCCTGCAGCTGTTATGGCGTGTGATGATAGGCATCTCAGGGCTGGGCTTTCTGTCTTGCCTTTTCATGCGAGAGGAGAAGATGCGGAAGGACATGGATGAGACGTGGGCTTTGAAGGAGAGTCGTTGGCGCGATGAGCCAGCCCGTCAGGAGTAAGGGCTTCGTAGCAGCATTGTGTTAATAAGTGTTGCACATCTTCATCGCTCCACGCACATTGCATTGAATTCGCCGCGTCCACGAGATCTACACTAAGCCAGGGATGAACTTGTACGGTACTCGATCTCTGTACGTGTTCCATTCCTCGCCGAACCGAGCCTTCAGTGCATCGTCCTCCACCCGTCCTCTCTTTACGACGCTCAGCAGGCTGAACGCGCTTAACACGTACCAGGTCCATAACCATGTCCCCCCAAGGGCTGTGCTGCTGAATCCGCTGTAGTTTGCGTATCCTTGAGGTGCGGAAACGCAGGTGATCGCTCCCACCATCATGAGTCCGACTGCGGTGTACGAAGGGTGGCGAACGAACGTGTACGGCCCGGAGGTGACGAGCTTATGAGTGGGCTTGATGGCCACCTCGTACGTGAAGAGCGGGCCAAGGGTGCGATAACACCACATCCGGAGCGCTCCAGAGGCGAACATGAGGGAGACGCCGAGTGCGAAGCGGAGAGAGATGGTGGAGAGAACGTCCAGGGAAGCGGCACGACTCGAGTCCTTGGGGAGCATCGCTGCCGCTACCGTCTGGGCATAGGGTGCGTCCGGAAAGCGCAGCGCGAGGATGGTGGCACACTCTGAAAGGAGGAAGAACATGACTGTCGTCTAGAGAAAAAAAAAAACAGGTCAACTCCCGCAGTTCTTCCGACGAACGTACACGTCGGGTTCCTACCTTGCTCGCCAGACTGAGGGCGTGGACCGTATACTCGAATAGCTGGCCCTTGTACACTTTATCGTCCTTCGTGGGGCGCGCGTTTGGGGCTCGCAAGCTGACGTAGTGCGCGCCTGTGGCGAGAGCAAGGATAACACATTTGGCGAGAGGGGATCGTGCTATCGGAGTGGTTGCAGCTAACATCGTGTCGAACAGCGAAGGGGGGCGGGTGGCGTTTCCAGCGTAGTCAAAGCAAGGTATGGGTAACCTATGTTCAAAATTTATATCAGCCACAAGCAGGAAACGTTTGACCGTTCCACTTACCTCATCCGGGAGGTATGCACTTCGACGTAACGCGGTCGCCCTCAATGCCGAGATCCACCTCCCATCCCCTTGATCGAATTGCAGGGCGCAGTAGATGCGCATGAGGAGAGGCAAATACGCACGCGATGATCTTCGACTCACAGGGCACCACGATAGGAAGGTGTTCCGTCGGCGGTGCACCGGAATCGCCAGCAACAGAATTTCGACCAGGTTTGGCACTTACCGCCAATGCTGATTCTATCGAATCTTCTGATGCTATACGTACGCCGTGTTGCACGCGCTATGAAACCCCGAGGTTGAACCATGGCGCTGCACAGTGTTTTGTCCCGTTCATCATTCATAGTAATACGCTCACGGATGTGATAACACGAAGTGGAATCACACCTGGGGTCACGGGAACGTGTTCAATGCTTCAACGTCGTTTCGTCGATCGGAAGGTACTGTTGCAGCGATGGTTTCAAACGCTGGCTGTTGGCTCGAAGGCCGGCCGCATGACGGAGACAAAAGCTCGAGGTAATGCGTGAGAATCCCCTTTCGCGTCCGCCGCTTCACATCGGTAACGTCGGAATATAGGACTGTGACTTCGGAACTTTGACTGATTTTACTGCACAGAAGCTGCAAACCGATCGACATCACTGCTGATTGAAGAAACAACTGACTGTACATACACGAGAGCGTCATTAAAACTAAGACTGTAGTTCGCCCCGCTTTGCAGTACTGTAAGAACCTCTTGAATGATGCAGCGCTCGGACAGCCATGATATCGATGTGAGCTGTTTTTACTACCACCCGGGAATACTTTATTCTGAAGCCGGGTGATCCGCACCGTCGACCCTCGAGCCGGTAAACACTGACCGTATGTCTCTGGTTAGCATTGATGATGCTGAGATTGCGGGATTCATTGGAGAGTCCATGTACGGACCCTCGCCTACTTTCAGAGCTAGTGATGGACCAACTTCTCCTCTGCGACTGAGTACAGACAGGTGCTGCAATATCAGTGACGCAATGGTTGCGAGCGGACATGGTCAAAATCAAAACAGAGGTTCGGAATCATATTCGCGGTCTGTGAAGGTCATCGGTATTCAGTTGCATATGGTACATGAATCCAGTTCTGTTTGCCATTCCAGACATCCCGTGACTTGTAGCACCAGAGCTGTGAGTCGTGCAGTGCAAGTAATCTCTAATCATACTTCTCCAGAAATTTTGTCATCCGAGGTTATGTCGATTGGTGAGGGCTACGAACCCAAAGAAAACAGGTCGTTAGCTATCGATTTCTCTCGGGCTACTGTCCATATACAACCTTTCTGTCGTCATCATCGTGAATACGGCTCATCTCCACTTGAACGTTAATCCCGCGCGGTTTGGAGACTGAAGAATTGATCGCGGTTGATCCCGACCCTTGCAAGCTGCTCGAAGTAAGCAATCCGGAGGAACCCCCCTTTCTGAGGGACCCGCGACCGTTAAGACTGAGATATGGGTCAACTTGGTTGTGAACGTAAGTCACCGACGACTCACAAGACAAGCAGACTGTTCGAGTAAAGCTTCGCATAGAAAAGCAGGATGCCCAGCCAGATTGCGTTGTTGGGCATTGAAACGATGCAGGCAAGCATGAGTATCGATGCGATGCTCGTAACCGCCCCTGTCTCGACAGTCCACAGAGTGAGCTTGTCAAGGACAAGCCTCGTATTGCGGAACCTGCTCCGTCTACGTCTCAAGAGGAGAATGAGGGACATCGCGTTGTAGGCGTCGAGCGCCATGGTGTTGGCAATTGCTAGGTTCGTGAGCCACCGGTACTGCTGAACAAAAACGGGGAGAAGTCTAGCTTTAAGTGATGTGGCTGCGAGTGCGACGGCAAGGGCGAGGCGGAAAACCGAGCAAGTCCAACCAGGAATAGCAAAGATAATCCTTGAGGACACGACATATATGCGCCATGCAAAGAACAATTGCACGGCACATCCAACGACGCCGGACAGTAAGACGCATGAAGCCAGGTCCCATGGGACGATCAACAGCTCGAGAACTTTGCCGAACCGTGTGATCGTGGCACCGTAGAGGTAGGACCAGCTCAAAGCTGTGTGCAGAGCTTCCACAAGCCTGAACAAAGGTATATTATCAGATACGTGATGATAGCCCGTACGCTAATCATGTCTCCATACCACACAAAGCCGACTAGTATCTTGATGTACGCCTTGTCGCGCTTGAAATGATCAGAAGCCAAATAAACGTATGTTTGCGTGGTCATAACACCGAATAGTACTGTGGAAATGAGAATTCCGATTTCCAGAGCACCAACGGATGTGTCAAGGGACAATGGCGCCATGTCTATATTATATGCTGAGTATACTCCGGCGAGGATATAGGTGTACAGAATCACCTGATATTGCCAATCTTTCCATGCTCGCAGCTGGATTGCAGAGATTCAAGGGGAGAGGCAATATTACAGAGAGGAAGGCGGATGATGCTCAATGTATGTACTGAGCGGTGAATCCTGTACCAGCGTCAAGATGGTTTTGTGGGTGACCTTTATAACGATGCAGTAATGGCAGTTTTCGTCACCACTAGATCGGTCATCAACCGCCGGTGATGAGTTCAAGGTTCGCAGTCCATGTGAGCACACACTATACTCGGAGCAGAAACTCGAATTCAGAAGGAAACGACTCTCTGCGGTACCTCCCGCGGCTCAATATGGCAGGAGGAAACCTCCGAATCGATCAGATCTGGTGCCGGTATTCGACCCGGACACTACTGATGATGATACCATGTCTATTGTTGAGTTGAATCGAGCGCCGTGGAAGGACAGCTTGTTGGCAAGGGTTAACAAGGACAGCATTCTGACTCCCCCCGTAAGCTATGTGCGCTGCACAGGAGGCATGGAATATTGAACTCCGCTTTGTTCCGGCATAATCTCCGCACGAATATGACCAATCGGGTGCGTTGATTTGGGGGAGTCGGAACTCGGCGCGAGGCACCCCCTTACTCATGTCTGTACTGACTACCGGGCAAACAACGACTCGGAGTACGTCACGCACAGGGACCGCAGTAAGATTCGAGGGGTCAGCGGTCAGGATTCATCACTAATCTCTGTCTCCGACGGGGTGCGCGTAAACGCTGCATGGCGAAGATGGTAGTGCCGCAGTGGGGCCCCGCTTGGTTGCAGATATCGCATTCGCCTCAGCCGACATCTTGACTGCGCATCCAATTCCGCGCAGACGGGCCATCAGCACCCAATACTCCCCCCTGCGAAACTGCTAAGCGCGATGCCCCAAAGCTCGTGGCAGTCAAAATTCGTGATTATTCCCGGGTCAAACCTGGTCATCCCTTGAGTGCATGCGGTGATATCAGATCATGCTGTCCAAGATCACGTCCCAATTCTTCGTGGTGATTAAATGCGGCGTCGCACACTTCCGAGTTCGTCACCTCGAATTGCGTCGGGCCCTACCTGCGCGAGGCGACGTCAGCCGAGGGTAGTCTTGATATAATATACAGAGACAATATGCTCACATGGCGACGCAGACTGTGGGGTCTTTGCCCATCTCCGCGAATGCGTTTATGAGCTCCTCCGGCATGGGGTTGAGGCGGCAAACATGCAGCTGGAAGTACGCGCCGACGGCGGCCTGATACTCAGTGGGGCTTATGGTTCCATCTTCCTCGTGTTTGCGAAGCGTGTCTTGGAGCTCCTGCGGCAAACCGGCGCGCATCTCAGCGAGCGCAACCAGAGCTCCATGCACGTCAGACTGTCGGCAAGGATGAGCCGCTTCAGGCCCGGAGTGTGGTCCACGGCGAGCCGGTCGCCTAGGATCCTGCCCAACGAGCCCCCAAGATTGGCGAAGTCGTCCTGCATGGCCAGCTTCACGATTGCGGAGCTTCATGCACGCGGACGAGGTAAGATCTGTGCTGCGCTTTGCGAACGTTCTTGCTCCCAGTCAAACATCTTGGGTATTCTAGACATATAGTCGTGATCGTCTTGATGCACAGAATGTTTGTCTCTTAGTTGTGCAGGGACATCAGACTAGACGTTCAGAATGTTAAGACTAATCTCATACAACTGCTTCTCGATTCCCGTCGTCAGCAATCGATCCTTCTTCCCGCCTACTACCCTTACTCTCCATAGCACCCAAACCCTCCACCCCTCCATCCAACTCAATCCCCTCCACCTCGCAGCCCTCTATCTCATCCTCCGGCGTCATCGGTCGGAAGCGTATGCGAGAGAGGACATGCTTCTTAGTGCTAGCGTTTGAGGACCACAGCGAGTGGGGCTGTCCCCCTGAGCTTCCTTCGCCGGATCTGGATAGGTAGGTAGATGCTGCGCGTGTTTGGCCGGAGACGGAGGTGATGCCTAGACCAATGCGAACTATTATCATGGAGAACACGAGGCCCTGGGTATGCCAGATAAATAAGCAGTCTTCATGTGCACAATATGAGGATGAACGACATACGACGATGGGTGAAATCTGTGAGGTATTGGCGTCAGGTTTGACCAACTCGTTTGGGTGAAAGCAACACTTGCCGCGTCCAAAAGAACATACTGGAACCACGATCCCCTCTTAAACAAGATCAACAGCGCAATAAGCGTTGCCGAGTACACCGCGCCGCTTTCAATGACAAGTAGTATGATCGGGCGTAATGTGATGCAAAGACGGGCGCGGTGGGTACGACGCGGGCCATGGTGTATATGATCCCGATCCCGGTCGCTGTGTGTGCTTGAGTGCCAGTGCGTTACAATGTAAAAAGAGGAAAGGGGTTGAACCTGTGCTTCCGCAGAGGAGGAAGAGTGGAAAGATGACGATGAGTTTCCGGTGCCCTGAGACAATGTAGCATCTGTCGAGCTGTAGCACGGTGAGTGTAAAGCTGATCTAGAAGGTAGACGGTACCTACTACGATGGCATCGCCGACAAGGGTTTGGGCGACGTATATAGTAGTGCCGAAAAGCTGTGTAAATTGCGAGAGCTCGTTGAAGAATGCTGCCGGTCCTCCAAGCGCGTCTCGGTGAATGATAAACGCTTGGATTATCCGTGTATAATTCACACATATGTGCTGACAAATTCAAGCCTCAATATCTCTGAGAGAGACAGTACTAACCATGGTAGCGAGAGTGAACATAACGATGACGATAGAGAGCGATTTTTTATTTCGTGGCTGGTCTGGTCGTCTCCTATGAAGCAAGACCCAGCATGTGAGAATGAAAACGACGGTGTATGCGCCTAAACAGAAATTAATGTATGGTATGTGCGTAAGAGCAGCACAAGACGTACCATACAGCAGAGTCTGAATGAATATCGACACGAGCTTGGCCTGTAGAGAACACGTTGAGCCAAGTACTAGAGCGGAGTCAAATACGTACCTCATCGGCCGCGAAAGCCATCTTGCGGGAAAGGGCGAGAAGGCGAGGAACCTGTCGCTGAGAGCGGAGCAGCAAGTCTTGTATAAACCATGCTGGATGAGGCTGTCGGTGACAAAAATTCCCCGTTCCGAATCCACTGGATCATGAAATGTACGGGAAGAAGACAGGTATACCGCATACCCCAAATTTCAAGGCTGGATAGCAGGACGCGTGGGATTGGGAATCTTGCTTCCGATGAGGTGAGAGTCTCTGAGTAGGTAGAAGCCAAGCTGTCCGCCACCTGCTGTCGGTGTGCCCGATCTGTCGTTCCCAGAAGACCAGAATAGGGTGTACGAAACTTAGAAGACAAAAATACCGGATACCGCAATTCTCAGAGCGGGACCGGCGGCAAGAGTGTCTAACTATATGCCAAGCTGTCCTCGCACCACCTGTCGTTGGTGCCCAACCTACCCCGTTCTCAAACCAAGGCATCAAGAAGCTATTCAGGAATTACCGCAGGAATCCTGTATACCCCAATTCCGGTCCGAGCCGGACACCACCGCGTACACGGCGAGTACCAAGAAAACTGAGACGAGTTCTTCAGAACTGCAGTCGAACGAACCCGTGTCGGTCTCCTGTGCCACGATACGCCCAGCGCTACCTCTCCATACGTGAGAATGGCTCTGCTTCGTTCAATATTAACCGCACAAAGGAGATACAGCCTAGCTTCTATTGGACATCAGCACGCTGCGGCACACGGAGCAAATGGGAACACATCGATGTGTCGTTCTGATAGTGACTGTAACCGCGTACAATTCGCCGGTATATACAGAACGCGCCTCCCTTCCGATTACAAAGTTATGCATCCGTCGGCCAGTCGAGCAGCTGTCTGATGAACTCGGCCGTGTTCTCCGCCTTCATGAGAGCCTCCCCAACCAATACGGCATGCACGCCCTGCTCCTTGTACACGCTCACGTCCTTCTGGTCCGAAATACCGCTAAGTGCGCAGAACACGACCTCGCGCCCCTTGACCATGTCGACGAGGCGGCTCGTCGTTCCCATGTCGACGTTGAAATCATGTAGGTTCCGGTTGTTCACACCGATCACCTTCGCGCCAAGCGCGAGAGCTCGCTGCATCTCGTCCGCATTGTTGACCTCCACAAGCGGCTCCATCCCAAGCGAGAGCGAGTATGCGTACAGGCGCTCGAGTATCTCGGGCGCGAGCATGGCGACAATGAGGAGGACGGTGTCAGCGCCCCATAGGCGTGCCTCGGCGATCTGATACTCGGAAAAGATGAATTCCTTCCGCAGAAGCGCGGGCCTGTCGGGCCCTAGGTCGTCGACAGCCTGCCGGGCAAGGCGGAGGTCGAGGAGAGATCCCTTGAACCATTTAGGCTCTGTCAGAACCGAGATGACGCTCGCGCCCGCTTGGGCGTACGCACGCGCCTGGCGCGGCGCATTCGCAGAGAGCGCGATGTCACCTTTGCTCGGGCTCGCGCGCTTGATCTCTGCCATGAGAGAGAGACCCGGGTTGGATGAGGATGTGGATGGGTTGCGCTTGAGGCGGGGGATGAGAGGGATGAGGGACGGCGCGAGGCCCATGGCAAGGTAAGCGTCAAGGTCAGCGGAGGAGGTGCCAGGCGTGGCTTGCGCGGCGGCGACGTCTTGTTGACGCTGCGCGTAGATTTTTTCGAGAATGGTGGGCACTTTTCCCTGCGGCGAAGCCATGGTGGTCTGCAGTAAGGTTATGACAACTGGCAAGGATGTGGATGGAGACTCAGAGAGGCAGTTATATCGTGTCGGAGTCGAAACGTGAATCGGAGATGACGAGATGACTGCATTTCCACGTGACGATCTTCTTAAGACGCCGGCGGTAGCTTTTATGTAAGCCTGTTGCCCTCAGCTCTCTGACCGAGACCGTGCAGTATGTCCGAGCAGATACTCGGATTTCGGCTCAACAATGGTCTGCTCATGCCTGCGATTGGCATAGGGTATGTCTATCACATCACTATTTCCTCTGAGCTCATCGTAAATATGTGTATTCAGATGTTGGATGGGCATTCCCTTCGCTGGCGAAGGCGATCACGTCACTGAGATGGTCAAAAAAGCACTCGCTACAGGTTATCGGCACATTGATACGGTTCGTCTCTTCGCGCTTTTCCCTTCGAGTCGATATCCGACCCTGAGTCTCGCTTCTACGCAGGCTGCAAATTACGGTAAGCATACTTAGCCATTTCGGCGTGCTTACCCCTGATTGTCTTCGACTGAAATTGTAGGTAACGAGCGATCCGTAGGCCGCGCACTGCGCGAATCGGGTGTTGCGCGCGGTGATATCTGGATTACCACCAAGCTCGAGTACGTGTTCGTTGCAATCCTCCTTGGCCGATCAAGTGATACAGTCTTCAAACAGCCATAAGGATCATGGTCGAGTTGCGCAGGCGCTAGACGACAGCCTTGCAAAGCTCGGGGTCGATTACGTAGACCTCTATCTCGTTCACTGGCCTCTTGCCGTAGATCCAGACACAGGTTTGCTCCTAGCTCATTATCTATGCCAATCGCTGAATACCGGTGCCTCTGTGTGGGAAATCAACAGGACGAACACTACAGCCAGACGAACACCCCACTATTGCCGACACATGGGCGCAGATGGAAACCCTCCTCCTCACAGGCAAAACACGTACCATAGGTGTATCCAATTTCAGCATCAGAACCCTTTCCATTCTCCTCGCAACCCATACCAAGATCACGCCTGCCGTGAACCAAGTCGAGATGCACCCGTACCTCCCGCAGCACGCTCTGCGCGCATTCTGCATAGAGCGAGGTATACATCTCACCGCGTACTCGCCTTTAGGTAAGAATGAGCTCAAGGAAGAGGAGGTGCTGGTACGGATTGCGGAGGGGAGGGGAAGCGTGCCAAGGGTTGTGCTAAGCTGGGCGGTGCAGCGCGGAACGAGTGTCGTGCCGAAGACGTCGCACGAGGAGAGAATGAGGGAGAACTTGCAGGTGAGCGAGCGTGGCATTTTTGTCGGGCTTTGAGAAGCTTAATGATGTTGTAGTTCTTAGAGTTGAGCTCCGAGGAGATGGAAGCCATAGACGGGCTGCACACAATGAGTTCGGGGAAGCACAGGAGTGTGTGCAAGTTCCATTCAACCGAATTCGGCGGGTCGTGCTTCGGTTGGACGTATGCTCAGCTCGGGTGGAACATGACTGTGGGGGGCGTAGCTAACTGAGTGCAAACGATGGCGTGAATCGGTAGATTGCACCGATACGGCCGAAGGACTCGTGGTATGTAGGTGCGTGTATGGGCTTTGCGCACAGACTGATGTGGATGAGAAAAAGAATCTATGAAGGCAGTCCACCGGATAGATCACGTCCGCTTCAAATTTAGCGTCCCACCGTGACTACTCGTTTGTTGGCCACCTATACGTTGCGTGCGCTCGTGCCGTTTCTGAAGCCAATGCCGTTCTACAGCCCGTGCATCAACGCGTAGTCATGTTCTTGGAGAGGCGTGGGCGAAGCGTCTCAGAAGGGGAAGAAGTGCGCCCGCTGTGAACTAGCTCTCCGACGGGCCGCCGATTGGTCCCTCTCACGGTACGATAAGATACAAAACTTGGGACACCATTGCAGCTGAGTGAGAGCGCCGACTTCGCGCGATGCCGTTTCCACCACAGGAGGTGAGCGCTGCCCCTAGGCTTGGCGCGTGCCTTCCATAGTCTGACTTGATACCATCTGCACCGACTATAGTCTAAACTGGTTTCCATCTTTTGCCAGTCGGTTCTCTATGGTGCGTGGTCCATTCGAGTTCGTGGCATAGCCAGTGTTCCAAGTTACTTATCTGTCGGCCAGGGGCCTACACCATGTTGTTCGTCCTAACGACATGGATGCTGATCACCCGTCGACCTTTGCGCAAGCCCATGCTGTTTGTCTCGACGCTGATGTGGGTTGTGGCTACGATGGTAAGGTCATCTCATTCATATTCCATATCTCTGCAACTCGGCGTACCGACTGTAGCATGTCGCAACAAACTTTACGAGGATCATCAAGGCATTCATCACCTTCTCTGACGCACCCGGAGGGCCCGCTGCATTCTTCAACAGGTTCTCAGAATTCACACAGATGTTCGGGAGCACGCTCTACGTCCTGCAGACTTTGATCGGTGATTCGATGGTGGTGCGCCGTCCGATTACTCGGCGGCACTCACATGACGCTAACATGACTGCGGCGCCAGCTTTACCGATGCTATCTGGCCTGGGAGCGTAAATTCACCGTCATCGCCTTCCCTCTCCTTTGTCTCTTCGGAAGCACCGGTAAACTTTCACATTCATCACCCCAAGCCCCGCAATCTCATGCACGTTGCGCATAGCGACAGGCATTGGCATCCTATATTCTTTCGACCGCGTTAACCCCGAAGCCAACATCTTCGTCCACCAGCTCTCCCAATGGATCACCGCCTTCTTCTCCATGACCTTCGCCACCAACGTCCTTTGTACAGTGCTTGTCGCATTCCGCGTCTACCGTCTTAACCGAAAACAGCTTATCGGCGCCCGCGCGCGCCATCTGCGTCCACTCCTGCTTATCGTCGTCGAGTCCGGTGCTGTATACAGCGCGTGGTTGATGGCACTTCTCATACTTTATAACACCGACTCCTGGTTCCAGTACGTGGTGCTCGACTCGGTAAGTCTCTCTTCCCGTACTCCATCCGTCGAAGTCTTAGCTTCGGCTTAACACAGGTCTCGCCTATCGTCGGCATCGTGTTCTCTGTCATTATCCTCCGCATCGCCATCGGCGTGACCTCGGAGGAGGGAGAGACGGCGCTCCTGGGCTCGCCCGGTGGGCAGTTGTTCTCCATGGGGCGCCTGCCCTCGCGGGGTGGCACGCATCAGCCCAAGACTGGAGACGAGGATGCGTCAGTTTAGGTATGAAAAAATATCGGGAAATAAAGAGACATACGTCGAAGAAAGAGGTTGTATGATAGTGCAATGGCTAGTGCATCGCGGTGGCAGATATATCCTCCTCGGTCAAGTTCGTGTCGTTGAAGCCTTCGCCGATATTTCTTCCCATCTTCTCGTCTCACCGCTCCACACTTTATAAGGGTATAGCCTCGCAGCCGTAGTTAGACTTTTTGTGAACATAGCATGGTCTGTACCCCATGTTCGATGTGCACAAAGCCCGGAGAACCAAATCGGGGATTGAACTGATAAGCACAGTCGGAGGTAACACTTCGACGCTTTACCTGACGGAAATGATCTTGCTTGTAATCCGCATCGTCGAGAATCCTTGCATACATATGATCACCACGCCGGTGTCAGCATCAAATGTCAGAGTATCGAAGAGCGAATTCGGTATGTAGCTATTTATTTCAATCCTCGGTCCGGTACCATGCACATGGCCTGGTAGATAACATTCCAGTAGCTGGATCAGAGTTACACACCATCTATGCCCTTATTCTTATCGCCATCAATCCAAGATGCAGCGCTCTCGCTCTTATGGGCTGCCCGTGTTTCCATGTCCGTCTCTTGTGTGATGCGAACCTCCATCGGATATAAGCATTCCGCAGGTGGGCGTGACACGCGCGAATGAAATATTGTCGGTGCTTGTAATCCTGTGGCACTTAGGCCTATGCGAACCATGATCAAGCCGTACGCAATTCCCTAAGACCTTTGTTAGCGTATGGTCACGGGTGTCGATGTTATGAGCTTACGATCATGGGACTAAGCTGAATTCTCGTGATCAATAAGTTGCGTTGTATGTACGGAATAAACTTGAATACCATAGTGGCTGAACTAAACTGCACATTCGATCTTGCTGCGAAGGCCAACAATGTCACGAGATTGAGAACCCTGGGGCATTCCGGTAAGCAGCAAGATTCGACGGAATGCATCGGACCCACCCAAGAATGACGGCACTCTCGATTGCCACTGGTATCATCGGCTATGAGTCGTTTGTAAGTCGCTGAGCATGATATGGATTACTAGCTAGTTGCGGCTGGGATGACCTACAGACAGCTCGGCGGTGGTGAACCCTCTCATATCACGGTCTCTCTTGACAATGCGATAGGTTATCAAAGCTAGATTCCCGCATCAGACCTGGGCGAAGCTTTCTTTGCTTCCTCCTACCTGCTTGCATGATGTTTGTACTACAATTGTAAGCTCATACACCTTACATATTTCCCAATAAAGCTTGAGGCTCACCTGAGTCCGAGAACTAGTGCACTAACAATCCACCTGAGACGCAGCATGTCAATGGCCAACCTTGTATTTGGTCCCAAATATGCGCACCGTCCGGTCAAACTCGCAAATACGTCTTCTCCCGGCCTGACCTGCGAGAACGCTATTGCAACCCCGAACCCACTGACTGTGAGCCATATGTCAGATGGTTAAATCGGAACTAGTCTCGACTGCTTGCCCATGAGGCCTACTGTCGCTAACGCGGGTCCGATTATTGCAATTATCCTTCCACCCCAGATTGAATAGACACGGTATGTCTGTAGCGCACGGAAGAACTTGGTATTACAGCCTGGACAGAACTCTGGTAGACTTCGCTCACAAGAATTATATCCATGAGCACCGCTTCCGTGATAACAACGGCTTGCTTGGCTACGTTCCTAGGATTCCATATCTCTGCTAGAAACAGCGTAGATCCATCCGATTGGTGGCGATACATAATAAAAGTGGTCCATATCCTGGACAGGTCAATGATCCAGTGCTTTTATGGAAAATGAGAGCCGCTTCAACAGATTTCAGACCACAACTAACCGCCGTTGATAACAGGATGAAGAGTGAAGTCATAGCCAGGAGAGCATGTCTCATCCTTGCATTAGCTCCGTACTCCAGCTTCCTTTTGGGTGACACCAGAAGAGCCATTGTTGCGAGCATAAGGGTCATAGCACACCCTGAAAATTATCAGAGAGAATCATTCTATGACTGATATGCACGGACCGTATAAGATTGACTCTCCAATAAATCCAGCAAGCTCAGCCTCGTCGATACTAACTGGAGCCATATCAATCAATACTTTGAGCCGGAAGGTCAAGGCTTCGCGCGTAACTGCAGGCAAATAATCCGAGTATAAGTACTTCTGATCCAGGACAGCAATAATCCTCTGTGACCATGGTTGTCCGAACGCAGTCCCATGGCGGCTGCGAGAGAGACTCCAATTGAACCGTAGATGTCTCCACAACACGTTCACCGCCGTTTTATCTCACGCTTCTTCAATCAGCGCCGGAAGACCAGCATCTCCCCAAAATCTGACATCTCGCAACTCTGATCTTCCGATGTATCAAATGCAGCCGGAACCGGGAATCATAGCAGCGCTGCGCACGCCCGCGCCCTGTACATGTAGCCATTCGTACACTTCAAGGTGCGGGGCATCACCACTTTATATCTGTATGCAACTCACGAGGGAGCTATTCTCAAGATATATTTCCAGGAAACAGAGCAATCTCCAGCACCAAAACAGACGTCATGCATGGCAAAGCGTGCACGCTTGCATAGTTGAGCTAAGCTGTCCGTATATTCTCTGAGGCTCTGAACATGGTGATCGTACGAGAGAAATAGTACAGAGGTATTTACTGACACACAGCTCGTCATCCGAGCAGTTAGAATCATATCAGGGGGAATCGATCACCGCAAGAATTATTCCCTGCTGTTCTTCTCCATCGGAAATGGACTTGACATCCTTATCCTCGACCGAATCTCGTCCAAACGTCGAGATGGGCCAAATCTCCTTCATGAAAAATGTGGGAATGGCCGCTAAAGCAAGCCAAAGAGCAACACCGAGAAAAATCCACCGATAGCCATTGCTATAAATGTGCCGTACGGTATGTATATCGCTGGATTCTAGCGTCGGGAGTACGATATCCGGTGATTTCATGATGGCCTCGATGATATCGCTGCTGAGGGTGGTATCCTCTTGCAACCTACGCCGGACATATGAGTTCAGGATTGTCGAAGAAGACGCAATCCCGAGAAGAGCGCCGAGCATCCTTGAGGTAGAAAGAATCCCAAGGGCGGGTGGGACATCTTGAGGTGGAATAGGGTATTGAAAGGTGACGGTGGTAACGGTAATTGCTAGCCCAAGAGAAGTGCCAAGTATGACTTCGAATCCATACTGCTCCCCGAACCGAGTCGGGAAAGCAAGTAGGTTCAGTAGGCCACCGGCAACGGCAGCTAGAGCGACTGTCGTACAGAGCAGAGGCATATAGGAGTGCGTTTTGGAGATAATGACTGCTGTGGGTGCGCTGAGAAAACCGCAAGTGAACAGCATGGGAAGCATGCGAACACCCGCGGTCTCGGCACTGAGAAGATCAACAACCTGCATCCTCTGTGTCAAGAACACGATCGTGCCGAAGAGACCGGCGCCCATGCCAATGGTGCATATCATGTTCAGGGGAATGTTTCGATGAATCCTGAACAGATATAACGGTACAATGGGCTCTTTTGACCGCATTTCAACGACGATGAGAAAGGGAATGAGAGCTATGGATACCAGGAGTGGCGCGAGGACGGTCCTTGACTTCCAGCTGAACTGTGGAAGTCCACCGAGCTGCAGCTGTTGAGGAATACATTTGAGTCTCGAGCTACAACAAGACTCTCATTGAAGAGGACTCACGGCGAGAGAGAACAGTAGGAGAACGCATAGCATCAGCGTGCCTCCTATCCAATCGATGCGCTGACGTATGATCCTCCATCTAAACGATCCGATAGGCGGCGCGTGCAGAGATAAATACAGCAGTAAGGCTGCAAATCCTCCGATTGGTAGATTGATCCAGAATATCCAGGACCACGATATGTTTGCGACAATAACTACGATCAATAAACCTATTAATCAATGTAGTTCCTGGAAATTTCCCGGAAATTAACATACCACCACCAATTATTGGACCCAGAACGGACGCCATGGCATACATCATAGGCGTGATGCCTATGTACTTTGCCATGACCTCCGGAGGCATCATAGTCATAATAGAAGTCGTCGAGCAGGACCACAGAGCCGACCCTCCAACACCTTGTAATGCTCGAAATACAATCAGTTCGTCCATGCTTCTTGCGCCAGCACATGCTCCGGAGAACGTCCTGCGAAGGAGAGACGTGCGAGTTGAATCATATTGTTAGCTTCGAATCAAAAATGAACTGACACAAATATTGCACACGATCCAAGGAGGACGTGCTTGGTGCCCAAAATGCCGCTGAGCTTTGCAAAGATAGGAAGAAATGCTGTTCGAAGAATGAGCAAGCAAATCAGGGTATCCTGCGAGGCCTTACCAACGTATGTGATCAAGTATCCGGTGATCAGCCAACTTGTCCGGTCGTAACTGTTGAACTGGGATCCGATGCGAGGTAATGCAACAGCAACTATGTTTTGATCAAATGGTTGAATGGGATAGATACAGACAGAAAGTACCAATGGTCGTGTCGAGCAGAGATATGAACGTCGAGAGAGCAAGACCGACGGCTGCCGCGATGCGGCGTTTGCCATACAAGTAGTAACGGGATGCGTCATGGAGTGTTGGAGAAGACGGGCCGATATCCTCTCCAGTGGCCATCTCGGTTGACTAGATAATGACGGAAAAGCTTGAGTTCGAGAAGAGGGATAAACAGGGGGGTGGGGGTGAGCAGCGTAGAAGGACTTATAATTTGCTCGTGCGCGAACGCAGCTGAACCAGCCTGTTGAGGGTGCTGCCTGTACTTGCTTCGCGTTCGATTGCAGTTCCGTGGGAATGTTCCTGTTCACACAAGAATGCCGGCACATTGGCATCCACCATTGGCTGCGCAATGATTGCGGCACTTGTGACTATAACAAGGCAGGATTAAGGTTCAATGCAGGTGTCGTGGCAGTTATCCGCTATGTTTTGGCTGTTCAATCTCGTAACAGCTCTCTCCGATGCTGAACAGCACCTCAGACGCATGTAGCTTTTCGCTATCACTCTCGGAGCAAGCACCTTATGCGGACGGACTCCTCCATGATAGGGCGGTGTAATAGCCAAGAATGGAATCGTATTACTGAGTGACGAGATGCAGTCGTGATGACAGCCCTCTTCTTGCGCGGGATCCGAGAAGTCCGGTATGTACCAGTCACTTCTCTCACCGAAACGCGTGGTAGCGTGGAATACAACGGAGAATATCCATGCCTTCTACTGCCACCGATTACAGATACGCCCAGTTTTCACGCCGCGCTGTGCCTCGGGCATCCTTACATATTCAAGTACGCACCTTGAACATGCCACGATCACGGCAACTGCTCCCGTCAGGGTTACCGCTATGATCAATCTTCAGACTTCCTTCCTCGGTTCAATGTCCGTTGTATCGCACATCCTTGATCTACGCTACAGCGATCCAAGCTACCCCCTGCAGGTAGTGGCTCGCAGGTTTACACCCAAACCACCAACTTCGTCGGGAGATAACGTCAAGCAGATATCGCTCCTGCTCGCTCATGCGGTAGGCTTGAGTGCGGTACCTGATATTTCCTTAGATATACCAAGCTCAACTACTCATGTAGGCACCGAGCACTATATCCCCTTTATCAAGCGGCTCTTCGAGGCTTGTAACGAGGCAAGACCTCACGATGTCCACATTCGCTCTCTTTGGGTCGTAGACAGCCCGAATCACGGGGATGCTGCTCTTCTGAACACATCGATCCTCGAGACACAGTTCTCATCGAAGTGTGAGTTTTCTGGCAGCTTTGAAAATGTACATATATGTACTTACCATGATGTAAGTTCCATGCAAGACGTACTCTGAGGCTATCACGCAGGTGGTACAGCATCTGCTGAGTCCGGAGGAGCGCCTTGAGCTCATCGGACTGGGCCATTCGGCGGGCTCAGGGGTTATGTACGTTATCTGCTCATGCTCCAACGAATAATCGTACTGAATGTTACGTCCATTGTCAGAGTGGGGACGGCGCTTGATTGCCCAAGTCCATTTAAATATCATATATTCATTGAACCAGGCTTTTGGACTGCCGCTGCAAATCCTATCTGGGACGTGGTGATGGCTCGACTTCAACAACTTTCGAAGTATCGCAAGCCAAGTTGGCCCACTATAAAGGAAGCAATGAACGACTTAACGCAGCAGAAGCCCTACAGCACCTTCAGCGCGGAGGTTCTTGATCTGATGCAGGTGAATCATACTTACTGTTGAGGTAAGACACAAGTATTTGACGCCGCTATAGGATACCTCGTTTGTAGAGAGTCCTCAGGGCGGAGTTACTACAAAGACGTCAATCAGTCGCGAGATGGCTAGTATGAACTCCTATGATGAAGGTGTCGTGCTCTCCGAGCTTGCAGTCGACCTGTCCAAGTCAATACCGACGTACATGCTTCAAGGAGAGCGCCGAGACTTCTGGTGTGCTTCATTTTCATCCCATAAATTTACTTCTCTAGTCTAAAAGGTCGTCTTGTTATAGGCCTAAGCCACTCAACTCCGTTATTGAGGCGACGGTGAGCGGCAACAGTGCTTCAATGCGTTCCGTGCAGGTAATCCCTGTCTGTAGCCACTACGTGCGTGGGGCGTTTTTTGGGGACTCGGTAGCTGCTGACACTCTGAATTAGCCTCCTCAAGAGAACGTCGGTGTGACGGCAAAGATGGTGTTGGATATTCTGATCAGTATTCAATCTTCTGCGCAAGCTACGAGGTTGTAGACGTTCAAATTCCATCTTCAAATCGGGATCTTATGGGTCATCATCAGTAATATCAGCGTCATCCACCGACAGACCGAAAATCGGAAGTCTCTCGGTTACAAGCTATGAGAAGTGGACAATGTATTGAGTGTATTCTTACAGAGACATGAGGCCGCGATTGGCTTGGATAGGCGAGATTACACGTGTACCTGAGCGAGCCAGATAGTTTACCGTACTTTCAACGTCACTCAAATTGCAATCTCACCCCATTCTACGGATAGCCCCGCACAGTGAAAAACTGGTGTGAATGAAGAGCCAGTGTCCTATTTCTTGCCAGAGAGTCAACATCTGAAAGCAGTGTCTGAAAACAATTCAGGGGGGGGGGGGTAGGGACACGCACAACTTCTCCATCTCATGACTGCATTTACAGCACAAACCCTGCGATATACTTGTCTACTTCTTCCACCAATTCTTCCGCCATCTAAGATAGTGTACCGCGCTTGACGCAGTTGTTCTTGCATCTTTTCGCATTATCAGAAGCCCGTGAGTATTCGGTACCGTAAGTGAAGAGACGACGACTTCGACTGCCCCTGGCCTCACACCCGACTGGGTAATGCTGGTACCGCAGTGAAAGCTATGAAGCAGGGAAAAAGGGTGATGTTCTTTGTTCGAGACGGATATGGAATGAAAAATGCCGGCCAACCTGAATAATTACCCATGATGAATCGCCTGATCCCCTGTGTCGTAATCACAATGGAAGCAGCTGCACTACATCCATCGGCGTGTTCTCGGCTCATATTTGTAAACCGGTGTTACGTAGCGTGTTCGAGGACGCTGATAAGGTCCCGGGATGTGAAGATATGAGCACATGGGCATGATGCAGCGAGCCTTTCAAGCACACGCATACAGCTTCCGTGCGCGGCGACTGCATGGCATCTCAAATCTGAGCGCACTACGATGATGTACCGCAATCGGAACTGATGCACGATTCCTAGATGGAATTATATTAAGACATTTGCGTGACTACGTCAAACGTGCAGTCAACCCGCAGAAGGGTGACATTTCACGTGCATATGGCATTGCTATGTATAATCAATGATTGTGTTGCAGCAATCATCGGGAATTCTGGGGGGTTCCCCGTGTCAAAATTGACATAAGTACAGCCATATTCAAGTGACAGCAACTCAGCACGAGCTGCCCTTCTACTGGAGTCCGAACATCCCAATCACAGGCACTATGATTTATTCCATCTACGCGACGCTAGCGTTGATGATATATGTTATCTGGAGATTTATCAGGTTCAACATTGCTACACTTGCCTCGCCCTTGAGGAATCTTCCCGGCCCTTCAAGCTCCAGCTTCATCTACGGTAATTTCCTAGAGATCTGGAACGCCGACATGTCAGCATTACACGAAGAGTGGGTGGATAGGTACGGAGTAACTTATGCGTACAAAGGATTCTTCAGTGTAAGCGATCAAGCTCTCGCCGTTATCTGTTCTCACCTCTTTCCAGCGAAGCAGGTTGTTCACCCTCGACCCCGCCGCCCTTGGTTATATTCTCAACAATACTAGCACCTTCCAGAAGCCGGACGTAGTGCGCCACTATCTTGGACTGATTTGCGGCGAGGGGGTGCTTGTAGCCGAAGGAGACGAGCATCGCAAGCAGCGACGCATCATGAACCCTAGCTTTGGTTCTGCTCAAGTTCGTTCGTTGACTAGCATTTTTGTCGACAAAGCCGCACAGCTGCGGGATATATGGCTCATTCAAGCGTCGACTGATGAGCCCGTCCGAATAGACGTGTTGTCCTGGCTGGGTAAAGCTACGCTGGACGTCATAGGTCTTGCCGGGTTCGACTACGATTTTGGGTCTTTGGAGAAAGACGGAACGAGCGAGCTCAGTGAAGCTTTCTCTGTCGTCTTTCGTGCTGGTCAGCAACTCAACATTCTGCCTATCCTTAAGGCAATTATTCCTCCGCTGAGAATATTAGTATGTCAATTTTCTTGCGTCGCTAAACACCTTCCGCTCATCCTGCGTTCAAAGCACACTTCCCGTGACAGGAAAGTGCGCTTTGCTCAGGATACAATGACTCGTATTGGAGTGCAGCTCATAGAGCAAAAGAAGGCGTTTGTTCGCGCGGAGAAAACCACGGATGAGAACATACACAAGGACGACGTAAAAGGTGGGTATTATTGGTCAAGTAAACGCACATACTAAATTGCCTATGTAGGTCGTGATCTTCTCAGTCTCCTCGTGCGCGCCAACCTCGCCACGGATATTCCTGATAGCTATCGCATGAGCACAAAGGATATAGTGGCCCGTGAGTTCTCGCGTATCATTGGTGATCGTCGTCTCACCAGCGTGCATTAGAGATTCCAACGTTTCTCGTGGCAGGGCACGAGTCGACGAGCATCGGAGTTGCATGGGCTCTTTTTGCCATAGCACAGCACCAGGGAGTGCAGAAGAAGCTACGAGAAGACGTCCTATCGCTTACGTGCGATAATCCTAACATGGACGAGCTACAAGCCTTGCCGTATCTCGACGCCGTTTTGCGCGAAACAATGCGGCTTCATGCACCTGTTCCGAACACAGTTCGAGTGGCAACTCAGGACGACGTGATTCCCCTCAGTACACCGTACATAGACCGTTATGGCGTCAAAAAGACGACTATACGGTGAGCATAGGGTGTCAACAATACGGCTCACATATTATTAAGTTTTTGGTTTTTGGTTTCAGAGTGCAGTCAGGAGATGCCATATATATTCCCATACTCACAATGAACCGTCTCAAGTCTATCTGGGGGGAAGACGCTCACGAGTTCAGGTGTGTGAGCCGTGTATCCTAATATAATCAGCGCTCCATAACGAGATCTTGATCACAGACCGGAGCGCTGGATTAACTCCGTTCCTGGTACGGTCTCAGAGGTTCCGGGAGTATGGAGCAACCTACTCTCGTTTCTAGGAGGGCCACGCAACTGCATAGGCCACAAATTCTCCGTGATAGAGTCAGTTTCATTGTATCCTTTCGGCGTACATTCCTGATGCGTAAGGTTCAGGATGAAGGCTATTATCTTTGTGCTTGTACGCGCGTTCGAATTTTCTCTTGCAACAAAGCCAGAGGATATCATCAAGAAATGGGCCATTGTAGCCAGACCGGTTGTTGCGAGCGAACCAAATGAGGGTAACCAGCTGCCGTTGCTTGTGAGGCCGTACAGATCAGCACAGTAGCGCGCATCGCATCTGTGGAGTTATATAGCTTGTATGTGAGCTCATATACTACCTTATATATTGTAACGCAGCTGTGTAACATCAGCTAGATGTGTCTTGTACAATATTTTATCGACGACGCACAGTGGCGGAGCAAAGGAGAGGGGAGAGAGGGCGGAAAACATTCGTCACCTTGTTCGTCATGTACGCGTTCAGGACTTTACTCTTACGCGATACGAAGGGACAGCTCACTCATACCTGTACCGCATCTACAGGCCATCGACGGCGGCGGCCGAACCGCTCACGATGACGATCTGTGCAGGCTTCGCCGGCGCGTCGACTCGGACGTCCGAATGCGTCGCCGCGTTCACGGACAGCGCCGGCCAGCTCACGGCCATTCCACTGTGAGATTGCCCTGTCGTGCCACTCCCCACCGATCGCGCGCTCATGTTATGGCTAGCCCGACGACGACCGACTCCGTCGAGACTCTCAACTGCTTCGGCGACGGCTGCGAGCTCGTGTCAACCAACAGCCTCGGGCAGCTCACCACCTCCGTCCAGTGCGTATAATGTCCATCCGTTCCCTTTCATTTTCCCTCTTTTCCCCCTTATCTCCCCCGTTCTCCCAACGCGGACCTGCGGGTGCCGGGCTGCCCCGAGCCAAATCTATCGATCCCGCGCCTTGCACATAGATTGAACGACCATCGCCATCGAACAAACCCTCAGGCATCGGACCAAACTGACGCATTCCGGTTAACCCAGGTCCCCGGGCGCGAAAGCTACCAGCACCCCCGGCTTCTTCTCCGGCACGCATACAATCTGCGGAGACGCCCAATGCTGGGCCGCCGTCCCGATGTAAGCCGTCTCTCACCACCCGCGTCCTCCCTTACTCCCCACTAAAGCGGTTCTACTCCACCCAGCTCGCGTACGACATACTACGCCACGGGAACCGTCGCCGTGACCGCCCCCGGTGCCGTCGCGAGCTCGAGCTCTCCCCCTCTCGACGCCGTCTCCTCCGGCGGCTCGAATAGCACCTTCACCATGATCGTTCCCGCCGTGGTCGGCACCGTCGGGGGCCTGCTCCTCCTCATCCCCGGCGCGATCCTCTACATCCGCTACCGCGCCCGCAAGGACGCGCCCTTGCGCGAGTGGACGAAGAACCCCAAGCTCGACCTCGTCCCGCCCGGTCAAGCCAGGCGCGCGCGAGATGTCCGAGGCCGAAGTCGACGATCTCCATCGCAACGCCTTTGTCTAAACGCCACGCCCCCGCAAACCTCGATAAAACTACCGCTTTTTCTTTCCTCACGTGCGTTCGTGCTTTAGTCTACGTTTTGTCCCCATAGGCATGTCGGCTGACGTGCGTTTTGGTCTCCCTTATTGTGCAGTCAACGCTGCTGTGTAACATTATTCACGCCCTCCCGTCCACGAACTCGTCCAATGCTCCCCGATCTCTTTCAGGCTCCATGTTGTGTACCGGACCCGCTCACGACGCTCTCGCTCACAACGTGTACAGAGGGGGTTTAACCCTAGTCGCGAGACGTAGATAAGTAGCCTAGCCGACTGCGTTGTTTGTACAATAGATGTCTCAACGAGGCAAATGACATATCACTGCCTATTTCCCAGATTTCCTCTTCATGACGTAAGTATCCTCGGCGCCAGTCGTCGCACACAACACCCACGAGCTCGCGGATCGGCCCAAGAAACCTGCCCGTCTGCGGTCCAGGCACCTCGAACTCACTGCCAGTGTATCGGGAGTTAGACAATTTCTGCGCGGAAGTTATCTGAGGTGCACGCTGATACTAGTAGCACCCGTAGCAACGATCAGGGTACCCAAGTTTTTCGAAGGAAGTACACTGACCCTCATCAGCCTCTATCTTGGAGGTCTCCTGACGTTGCGCTGTACATTTAAGCTAAAGTACGGTTCGTCTTGTTTATTGGGAATGCTATCTATGAAGATGCCTGGTCTTCGTTGATTACACGCATCCATAATCCTGTCGTACTAGCAATCACTCTCGTCTGATCATAAATCATCACATAGTCAGATACATGGAAGCCCATACGATACGTGTTGCAACACCCATGCAGCTAGCCTATGCCACTCACACACCGTCCGCTCTTCCTCCTTTCATCCATGAGCTCGCGCTCTTCTGTATAACGCGTGTTTCGGAATCTATTTCTTCGGTAATGCGCACTTCCATGGGGTACAAGCCACCTCCCGGAGGGCGAGATACTTGAGGGCTGAATACCGTAGGCGCTTGCAGTACTGTGGCACTGAGACCAATGCGCACCATGATCATGCCGAACGAGATTCCCTGGTATAAGTCAGAAGATTGTCCATTGCAAAGAGAGTGAACTTGCAATCAAAGAATTGAGCTATTTCACGACTTGTCAGCGGGAGCGGAATGAAGGAGTGGAATAACAAGTACCATTGTAATCGACATGAATTGCACGTTGGACTTGACTGCGAACGAAACCAGGGTGATTATGTTGATGATGCTGCGATGTGGTCAGCTCTCATTGACGATGTCATATGAGTCGGACTCACCCCAGTATCAAAGCGCTCTCGATTGCGACGGGTATGAGTGGCTGAAACATGATGGAGATCAGTGTCGTCCACTCGCTCTTGAGCGGATCCGACGAATAGCAAGGGGTGCAGTAGTAAAGCCTCTCATGTCACGATCTCGTTTGAGAATACGATAGCTGATCAGAGCTTCGACATGTCAGATATTCGAAGCAAAGATAATAGTGTTAGTCTCACCTGCCTGTATGATGTTTGTACTGAGTCTATCAGTATCGGTCCGTCTCAGGTACAACGCCCGAAGTCAGTTACCTAAGAGCGAGCACGAGGGCACTCATGGTCCAACTGCGACGCTTGTCAGTAAGATATTACCTTACTAGAAGCATGACTATGTACCGGCCGATCGAGCTCGTAAAGATGTCTGTCGCTGTCTTGTACCGCGAGTAGGCCACCACTTCTCCAACACCACAGACTTGTCTGTGAATTAGCGAGGATAACTACGAGATGCGCTGATAGGCTCAACTGAATAGGCCCACTGTAGACAGAGATGGTGGCAGCAAGTTTACTTCCGCTCCGTATTGAATAGACACGATAGGTCTGAACATCGCTAGTTTAGTCAGGAATTTGGTGATATAGTTTTTGTGTACCAAAATCATGTCCATAAATACTCCTTCTTCCATAACAATTGCAAGTTTTGCAACATTCCGCGGTTCAGACAGTCGAAAAAAGAAAAACAGAGACCCCTCCGGCGCGCTTTTACGACCAATAAACGCACTCCATATTCTGGACAAATCAATAATCCAGTGCTGCAAACAAGTGACATAATTAGCGCGTTGACTTGAGATATAGAGCGCTCTATTTATCACCGTAGTCAAGATAAGAGGCATGGATGTTATGATGAGCAGAATCAGCCTTGTCGTTTTATTGTGGCCGTACTCAAACTTCCGCTTAGGGGACAGAAGTAGCGTTATCGTAGCAAGGAGTAATGTTGTTGAGCATCCTGAACATACTCTCAGTAAGGGATAACTCGTTTTAAACATCCAACTCACCGTATAGAACCGATTCTCCCACAAAGCCAGCGAGTTTGCCTTCATCGACCGTGAATGAAGACGAAGACATTTGACCACTGCTACGTAGGTCTCTTTGGGTTCTATCTACGTCCGAGCGCCAGGGAGGGCACTTGTAGCTTCTTTGAGATTAGGACAGCAATGAACCTTTCGGAATCTGTGCCCAGTATTTAGGGTTCCGCTGTCGTGGGAGCGCAAACTCCGGACCAGCGCTAACCCTGAATGCTTCAGGATTTACCCCATCCGCTCCACAGAACGTTACCGATTGCATCATAGTAAGATGAGCACTGAATTATATCCTTCAAAATTTAGTATATCCCATGATATTCCTTAGACATTTAAGCGACTATGGTTGGCACCAGGTTCCGACGATGCAGATTCGCAAGAATGTGGGGAATGTTGAGACATTCGAGAGATGGATCCGAAGTATCAGCATGTGAGCCGGGTGATTAGGATCAAGACACAGCATTCTATCTCAGGTCCATACGAGATGATGATTGCTGTCAGGCAGACAAGGAGCATGTGCTTCAGATCAAGGGAAAAAACATGTATCAGACTGTGTGCCACACTCAAGCCGGTGGTTTTGTCACGATAACAAGGACGTAGATTTTGACGAGACCTCCGGCTACGCGGTCGCGGAGATTGACATCTAGAAATTGTCACGCTTGCTCAATACGGAAACACGCTCGCCAACTAATAATGCCGGTGTTCTTCGGACTCATACTCCACCTCAACCACCCCTTCGGCACGTCGTTGTTAGGTAGAACTTGCCCCGTCAAATGATACACCTTTGAGGCCTTGCCGAAGGGGGATTTACCCATTTTCCGGGTATTTCCCGCCCCCCTTGCTTTTTGGGCGGCCCATCCTCAGGTGCATACCCAGCAGGGTTGGGTATTGCGGGGACGTCTCATATTGGTCTGCGCTCTAGTGGGACGTCGTCCCCATCTGGCGGGACCCACCAACATAGACCCCGGACCATGTGCCGCTGACGTGCCGAGCAACTCGGGCATAATGTTGCTGGCAGCCGAATCGGTCGCAACATATACTGTCGTCACGTGGACGCTGAACTCATTCCGTGCACGCGCCCTCTCTCCCCAGTTTCTGCATCATAATAACTTATCATCTACGTACTCAGGCGATTTCCGCATTCTCATCTCGCTACGGTATGTCTAGCGTCTTCTCAACCACCTTAGAGAAGCGTGTTTTGACATTAGGCAGGTGCACGTACGTCAGGGGTCCTCTATTGCTGAGGGTAAGTCCCCATTCGGCCCTTTCAGCACGTTTGCAGCTCTTGAGATCAGCCAGACATTTGATATTTGCTAGGCCCCACAGGATGTCATGTCACGCAGAGAATAATGAATACGATGCGACGATTAAGGCGCCGATCTTG